GCATAACTTCGTATAGCATACATTATACGAAGTTATACGACCTCTGTGTCTCTGGAGGCTGTGGGGCCCAGACCCAGCCTGCCAGACAGAAGTAGCACTGGCCTGGTCACAAGATGGACACGGGAGGGAGCACAGGGCTGTCATCGTCCCCCCGCCTGCTGGGACTTTTGAGAGGGCGAGCTGTGAGTCTCCTGAAGGCACCTTCTGTGGGGCGGGCAGGGCGCAGCTGCGACGTGACCTGTGGCTCTGCCTGCAGACATTGGCACCATCATGCGGGTCGTGGAGCTGTCGCCTCTGAAGGGCTCCGTGTCGTGGACGGGGAAGCCAGTCTCCTACTACTTGCACACCATCGACCGCACCATAGTGAGTATCGCTTCAGGCACCGAGCAGCGGCCACTGGGGCCCTCGGCCTGCTGGGGCTGGAGGGGCGTGGCTGCCCACATGGCTCCTTCCTTCTTCATCCTCCCACGCCGCTTGCTCTTGTGACTCTCCTCAGTCCAGTTGCCTTGGCCTGGTCTCTGCCCCATCCTTCTGTCCAGCTCTCATCGCCTAGAGGTGGGATGTCCAGGCGGTTCTACTTGGCCATGTTTTGCTGGTGTGTCTGGGGCCTGACCGCCTGGTGCTCATGTCTGCTGCCTGTTAGAGCCTTAGTTCAGATCCTTTCTGGAGATCGTTGATGTACATTTTCGGCAACAGCCACTGGCGGATGTGCACCCTTATCCCCATGTGCACAGGCGCCAAGAGGGACCTGGGGATGGGCCCGTCCTGAGCTGTGGGGTCCTAACCCATGCGAGTGGCCAGCGTTGTCCCTCTTGGTGCAGCTGCCATGTCAGTTTTCCCTGGCACGGGCCATGGCCTCCTGCTGTGGGGGTTGGCCTTCAAAGCTGGTTGCCCTATGGCGGGACAATGTTTCCATGCAGAAATGTGTTCACTGTCACGGAGCAAAGGTTGTGTTTTGGTAGCATGTTTCTGTCTGGAAGGCTTAGCACGGCCCTAGTACCGAGCCGTGGCTGTGGGTAAACCGAGGACGATGTGTGGTCACAGCTGGGTTGGGATCTAGCTGTGTGCTTGTGGGCCCCAAGCGTTAGGGCGGCCACCTGATGCCACCGTCCAGGGATACCTGCGTTACTGGGGTGCTGTGTTCATCCTCATAGGGTTTGGGACCTGCTTCTAAAAAGGTCTTTTTCTTTTCCTTTCAGCTTGAAAACTATTTTTCTAGTCTGAAAAATCCAAAACTCAGGGTAAGTTTGTGTTTTCCTCTTTTGGTATTTGGTAACATGGATAGAAACTTGGCAGAGGTCCGAGTGGCCGGACTCAAGAGCTGTCGTTGAGTGGGGTGGTCCCCCTGGGGTCTGAGCCGTCATCTCCCAGCCTCCTGCTCTCTTCCCCCTCCTGTCTCTGTCTGCCCCACCTTATGTGGGTTCAGTTGGGCCTTACTTCTCGTTAATGACGATCATTTAGGGGCAGATTGAGTGAGTTATGGCTTCTGGGAATGATTTCTGGTGGCCTGGTGATTGTGTTGGGGTTTGGTACCACCCCAGCAGCCTCAGGGGCTGTGTCTGCGCCTCCGCTGACATGGCCAGGACGGATTTGGCACCGGATAGCTGCGCCCTCCTGTTTACAGCAGGGGCGGGAAGACCTCGACATTCCTCGGTGGTTTGCCGCCTGCTTGTGTTTTCTTTAATGCTGTTCTCAGAACTCTGGGCCAGGGCAGTAGCTGACCGCACAGCAGTGCTTCTCTGGCCAGGGAGAGTTGCCTGTTTCTTTGCTGACAGGACTTCTGTTCAGATGCTCTCTCCTTCTGGAGAATGAGACGAGATCAGGGTGTCACAGACGCGGCTGGCCCAGTGAGTGTAGTGGCAGCTCGGCTGCCCCTGGCCTCAGAGCCCAGCAGCCCCACTGGGGTCCTAGGTCTTTCCTGCTGTGCTTAGGGGGACGCTGGTCTTAATGAGCTCAGGGACAGCTGCCTCCTGGGGCACGGGCGGCCTCTCCTCACTGTGGTTTCCAAGTGAGGAGAACGCTAACAGAACAGACACTTTTGCACAAAGTGTCCCACTGTAGGTCCTCAGCACTTTTCACCAGTAGGAGGGGGTTGTTGGGTGTGGCTGCTCCCTCCTTGCGCCTGACAGTCTTTTGCTCAAGGGATTTTCTTTCTTCTTGCAGCCCAGGGGGTGCCAGTGGCTCCCTGACGGGGACCTGTGCTTGTACGTGCACAATGTGATGCTGCCATCGGCTCGGGCCCGGCCTGTGGGGCTGTGGGTGGCTCACTGCTGGCCTGGCCTCAGTTTCCTTCTCAGTGCTGTGGGCAGAGCTGTTGAATGAGCAGGGCCGGGGGGCCTGATGGTGCTGGCCCCTTCCAGGGACTCGTCTAACTCTCCCTTTCCAGGAGGAACAAGAGGCAGCTCGGCGCCGGCAGCAGCGCGAGAGCAAGAGCAATGCGACCACCCCCACCAAGGTCCCCGAGAGTAAGGTGGCCGGCCCCACAGACGCCACCCCCATGGTGAGCTCCTGCACCCACCAGGACTGAACCAGGTCTGCGCAGGGGGTGTGGGCACAGGCTGAGCATCCCCTACTGTCGGCAGGATTCTGGCGCTGAGGAAGATAAGGTGGGAGCGGCCACCGTCAAAAAGCCGTCCCCCTCCAAGGCCCGGAAGAAGAAGCTGAACAAGAAAGGCAGGAGGATGGCTGGCCGCAAGCGCGGGCGCCCCAAGAAGATGAACACTGCGAACCCCGAGCGCAAGCCCAGGAAGAACCAAACCGCACTGGACCTCCTGCACGCGCAGACCGTGTCCCAGACAGCGTCCTCCTCACCCCAGGGTGAGCCCACCCGCTCCCACTTGCGCCCTATGCACCTGCTGGCCTCGTATCCTGGCCCTGTGCCACCAGCTGGGGTTGTTCCAGCAGCTCTCTTCTTGTCACCCTGGCTTTGGGGCAGCTCTGCCCTATGGGGCCATTGGGCACCACTCCCTTTCTTCCCTGCCTGTGAGGGGAGCCTGGGCCTGGGCCGTGGGCCCATCGGGCTGGGGCACTGGTGGGAGCAGAGCACCTCTAGCAGTGTCTGGGGCCCGCTGAGGGTGCTTGCTTGGCAGCCTGCTCCAAGAGTGAGTCCGGGGTGTCTCACCAGCACACATGGCGGCCGTTGCTCACACACATTTCTGAGGTCGTAAGCCAGGCTGGGCCTTTTTTAGACAGATGCCTGTATTGGTTGTCAGAGTGGCCGAGATGTGGTTTTTGGTAGGTTCTTTGGATTAGCAAGTGTGTTGAGCCTTGTCTTTATGGAAGCTGAAAAGGTTCCGTGAACGAGCCTGCGGCTTTCCCATCAGGTGGTCAGGGTTGAGCATGTGCGCCATTCTCTCCGTGCAGATGCATACAGGTCACCTCACAGCCCGTTTTACCAGCTACCTCCGAGCGTGCAGCGGCAGTCCCCCAACCCGCTGCTGGTGGCACCCACCCCGCCTGCGCTGCAGAAGCTGCTAGGTAAGCACGCCCCCTGGGGCCCTCCCCAGCCGGCTCTTTAGATTCCTGCATGAGCCTGGCTGAGGGTGGCGGGGCCTGGAATTGGCGTGGTCCCAGGATGGACAGTGGGCTACATGGGTTTGATTCTGACCTCACAGCTCCGGGGGGGGGGGGGGGGGGGGGGGGTACTGAGCATTTATATCTCCAGCAGCTCCTTCAGGCACCCACATGGACCCCACTAGAGTGGCAGGGGGGTTGGCCTCTGGATGGTCAGCGGAGGCTCAGAGCAGGCCTTCGTGACTGTCAGGGCCAACATTCTCACCCCACGGGACTCTAGACAACATCTGGGGACATTTGTGGTTGTCACGACTGGGGGTGCTCCTTGCATAGAATGGGTGTGGGCCAGGGACGCTGCTCAGCACACGCAGTGCCCGGGATGGCCCACTTCTGAGGTCCGTCTCCCTGAGTGTCGGCCAGGAGTTGGCCGGGAGTCATGCTTGGGCGAACTTCGTGCTGCGTGCTGGGCGCCGTCTGGCTTTCCTGAGCGTGGTGCTCACGTGGTGGCCAGGGCTGAGGAGTGAAGGGGTGAAGAGTTACGGGCGCAGGGAGTCAGCAGGCCCTGCAGTGGGTGGGGCTGCGTGTCCATCTCCTGAGCCTGCCTGAAGAGGCCGCCCGAGTGAGCTCTCAGAGAAACCGAGACCCACATGCTTGTTTCTAGTGTGCTGCTCCCTGTCCTTCCCTTTAACCTCAGTGGGATCAAGTTTGCATCTGAACTGCCCTAGTGTGGTCCCTTTTCCAAAATGGTTTTGTGTGTCTCTCCTAGAATCCTTCAAGGTTCAGTACCTGCAGTTCCTGGCGTACACAAAGACCCCTCAGTACAAGGCCAACCTGCAGCAGCTGCTCGACCAGGAGAAGGTGAGCCTGGTGTTGCACACTGACGGCTGTGGGGAGGCCCGTGTCTGTTTCTGTGACGCTGGTATTTATCTTCCATGCCACAGCAGCTGGTGAATTCTCCAGTGGGCCTGCTGAGGTCTGGCTGGCTTTACACGCAAGGCCCCGGTCAGCGTCAGGATCGCCAATGCCAGACCCACCCCGAGAGGCGCCGCTGGGTCTCAGACCCTGGCCACCCTCCCTGTGCTGTGGAGCTGGAGTCAGGCATCACCCTTCACGCTATGTGTTTCTGTCTCGCAGATGAGGGTCTGCAGCTCCAGCTCTCATGGCTGTGAGGGTCTGCAATGAAGGAGAGGGAACGTGTCGGGGTGGATGATGAGGATGTGGGGTGGCACTGATCCAGCAGTCCTTGATGTGGGTGAACCTTTCATAGAATGAGGTGTATGGTCGTCAGAGCTGCCTGCGGGCTGTCCCTGGGTGGTGGGATGCAGCACCTGTGGCCCGTGTGTAGCATCAGGAGAGCAGGGGTCTGACACTGAGGCCGCCAGTCCCCTGATCCCAGTCCCTGCTCAGGTGCAGTCAGCATCTGGTGCTGGCCTAGCCCTGGTCTTCTCTGTCACTGGCACCCCCTTTCCTTGCTGCGTGTGGCTGTGGTGTGTGGCAGACACAGATGAGTCCTCTCGGAGTGTCCTGCGTGGCCGTGCTCGTGATTGAGGCAGGTTCTGCATGCTGGGCAGGGCCCACTGATGTGTGTCCCTCCTCCTGAGGCTCCCTGTGCCCATCAGCATCCACGTTACCCTCGATCCCTTGGTTCATGGCGAGGCTGATGCTCCCCTAGCAGGCTGCCCCCAGCTGCTGCATTGTGTCAGATCTCAGCATCTGCCTCACAGGTGGGCGCTGTGGTGCCCAGGGAGGTGAAGGGGTAAGGCCCCGGCGCTGGAGAAGACCATGGTGGTGCCTGTGGTCTTGCAGGTACAGCTGGCTTCGTGACTGCCCAGGGATGTGGAAAGGCTGGGCCTTCTGCAGAGGAATCCGGAGTCCTTTATCAGTCTGCCCCGTGCTCTGAGTTTGGCATGGTCATTCTGTCCATTGTGGCCCCAGGGCTGGGGCAGGAGAGACTGTACCCGGGTTTCTGGCTGGGACATAAACTGCCCTGCTGCCCAGCCCCTCCTCACACCTGGAAGACAGTGCTTTTGTGTGGTCCTCTAGTCTCCTTCCAGGTTATTTCTGAGCCATGGGCAGTTGTTTTGGACCTTTCTTTTGCTTTTACAAAAAATAAAAAGGCTCATAGTAGATGCCATGTGCTACAGGTTCCCCTTTGTGGTTGGTAGCACGCTGGGGTGTCATTCTGTGTCACTGTCCGAGGCTGTGGCATTTCAGAGGCTCTCGCATTATCCTATGTAGAAACTGTCCCTGTGTAGGTGGGCCTTTGGGACAGTCCAAGGTTTTGCTGTTACACTACATCAGGTGCGTCATTCTGTGTCACTGTCCGAGGCTGTGGCATTTCAGAGGCTCTCGCATTATCCTATGTAGAAAGTGTCCCTGTGTAGGTGGGCCTTTGGGACAGTCCAAGGTTTTGCTGTTACACTACATCAGGTGTCCGCTCCTCCGGGGCTGCCTGCGGGCGAGTTCCTGGAGGAGCTGGTTGTGTCCTTGCCGCTGGCAGGTGTGCTGCTGCCACTGAGGCAACGGAACTCTCCATCCACAACACTGAAGTGAGGCTCGGTTGTGCCCGTGCCTGTAGCTTTGGGAGCCCTTGACATTCCGGGCCATAGCGTGTCACGTCGAGCATCTCTGTTCTCTGAATATGTTTAGAAGGATGGAGGGATGGGGTCTGGGGTGTTTATCCCTGGCAGGACCCTCACATCACCTGCCCACCGTACCTGTTCCCACAGGAGAAGAACGCCCAGTTGCTGGGCACGGCGCAGCAGCTCTTCAGCCACTGCCAGGCCCAAAAGGAGGAGATCAGGAGGCTCTTCCAGCAGAAACTGGATGAGGTAGTGGCCACGCCATCCGGCATTCTGACCCAGGATGGGGTATGGGGTGGGGTGTGCAGCCCGGGCAGCCGCAGTCTAAAAGGACAATTTTCTGTCCATGCTCTCGTCTTACAAAATCATCCACCTGCTGGGCAGTGGCCTAGAAGCTGGGATGTCGAGTTGGGGGGCTGTTCCTGGTCCTTCAGCCCCAGTGGGCCAGCTCAGGCTGTGTCCTGGGGCAAGGGGCTGCAGTGGGCGCCCCCTAGGGCTCACTTCTCTGGGCTGTCATAGTCTCCTGTCTCTTCTCTGAGGCCAGCATTGTGACCACCCCATTCTATGTCCCTGGGGAAACTTGGACCCTTCCCCTTTCTGCTGCCCAGTCACCTTGCCCTAGGCTTGTACCCCCTGAGAGATGCCCACTTGTTGTTGTGTGTCTGTGTGTTCCCAGTTGGGCGTGAAGGCTCTGACCTACAATGACCTGATCCAAGCTCAGAAGGAGATTTCTGCTCATAACCAGCAGCTGCGGGAGCAGTCAGAGCAGCTGGAGAAAGACAACTGCGAGCTCAGGAGTCAGAGCCTGCAGCTGGTGGGTGCCCGCCCTGCCCTGCCTGCCTGCCTGCCTGCCTGCATGTGCCAGAGGAGTGGGCAGAGGTTCCAGGATATTCCACAACTCAGAAAGCTTGGGTCTCAGACCCATCAGGGGCTGGGCTTCCCTTAGACTGATGCATGGCCCATGACATAGAGGTGACCAGAGGGTCCCTGCAGGGAGGGGGCTGGGCACGCCCTCTCTGTGGATGGGTTTCCCTTGTCCCCCTCTCTACTCTGCAGTGGGAGGTTCTGGAAGCCTTCACCCTGGCTCCTCTCCTCATATTCATTCTTGGGACAGCATGCAACCTTCTTTAGCGGTCAGAGCACATTAGGGCAAACAGGGCAGGCCCCTGAGGGGGCAGTCTTTCCCAGAGAGCTCCAGAGGCTTTGCTGCCTTTACTCAGAAGGGCCTGGACTCAGACTCTTCCTCCAGCCCCCTTGTCGGGGTTCCTTTAGGGGTCACTTAGTCCACGTGCAGACCAGTAAGGCCTCACTCCTGTCAGTGGTTTACCATGGGGTCACAGTGCTGGTCATAGGGCATTCCTCACTGCGCTCTGGGTGAGGGTGGTAGTTGTGCCCCGTTTCTCTCTGAGGGACCCCCTGGTCTCCTTGTCCCACGTCCTCAGCCCAGCATTCCAGAAGCACGTTCTGCGCTCCAAGCACACAGGCTCTGTACTGACGCTAGCCTAAGGGAGCCCTGCCCTGAGATGATGAAGCCTGCCGGGCTCATGGCGGCCACTGTCCCCGTCCCCACAGCTCAAGGCTCGGTGTGAAGAGCTGAAGCTGGACTGGTCCACACTGTCCCTGGAGAAGCTGCTGAAGGAGAAGCAGGCCCTGAAGAGCCAGATCTCAGAGAAGCAAAGGCACTGCCTGGAGCTGCAGGTAGCACAGCCAGGCCGTGACCCTGGCTTCGCTTTGGTGGGCAGCGGGTGGGCAGGTGCACAGAGATGGAACCCTGACCTTGGTGTTAAAGCAGCAACAACCAGTTCTGAAGTGTCTTTTTATCAAAAATAATACTGCGATGCATTGATTTGTTTTTTCTTTTCTTTTTTTTTTTTAAAAAAAAGATGACCGGTAAGGGGATCTTAACCCTTGGCTTGGTGTTGTCAGCACCACGCTCACCCAGTGAGCGAACCGGCCATCCCTATATAGGATCCGAACCCGTGGCCTTGGTGTTATCAGCACTGCACTCTCCTGAGTGAGCCACAGGCCAACCCCTGCGATGCATTGCTTTGAACCGAAGACTCACTTTAAGGCTATTTTCTTTAAGATGTGCTCTCTGAGGTAGATTTATTAACATTTGAAGGTTCTGAGACTTGTTGCCAAGCTGCTTTCTTTTTTTTAAAGATGACCAGTAAGGGGATCTTAACCCTTGACTTGGTGTGGTCAGCACCACGCTCTCCCAAGTGAGCAAACCGGCCATCCCTATATAGGGATCCGAACCCGCGGCCTAGGTGTTATCAGCACCGCACTCTCCCGAGTGAGCCACGGGCCGGCCCACCAAGCTGCTTTCTGACATGGCGTGGCCTGGGTGTGCCCCACCAGCCTGCCAGCATGCCCACTGACCTCCTGACCATGTCCACGGACTTTTCCTGGAATGGAAGTCTTCATGAGGGAATACATTTGGGTTCTGACTCTTCATCATAGTTTTCTTCTGTGTAATAAAAGAAACTATGCATTTGTTATAAGGAGAAACAGCAGGCAAAAGGAAAGTGTTCTGGTGTCACCACATACTCGAGTGGTGTGTCCTGCCACCGTGCTGTCCTGGACGAGCCTGGCATCCTGGTGCCCTTTCCCCATCCTCCCTTTGGTGGATGTCCCTCTTACCTCCCTCGGGACATGACAGTCCCCTTGGGTGAGTGGCTGGGTTAGCCCAGCAGCTCCGAGCCCTTCTCCTGTCCTGCAGATCAGCATCGTGGAGCTGGAGAAGAGCCAGCGGCAGCAGGAGCTCCTGCACCTCAAGTCCTGCGTGCCTCCCGACGATTCCCTGTCGCTGCACCTGCGCGGGAAAGGCTCCCTGGGCCGTGAGCTGGAGGCTGAGCCTGGCAGGCTGCACCTGGAGCTGGACTGCGCCAAGTTTTCTCTGCCTCACTTGAACAGCATGAGCCCGGAGCTCTCCATGAATGGCCACGCGGCCGGCTATGAGCTGTGTGGCACGTCGAGCCGGCCCTCGTCCAAGCAGAACACCCCCCAGTACCTGGCCTCCCCCGTGGACCAGGAGGTCGTGCCCTGTACCCCCAGCCACAACGGCCGGCAGCGGCTGGACAAGCTATCCAGCCTGGCCCTTCCTGACTACACCAGGCTCTCCCCAGCCAAGATTGTGCTGCGGAGGCACCTGAGTCAGGACCATGCAGGTTCCAGCAAGGCGGCTGCCAGCGAGCTGCACCCGCGGTGAGTGGCTGGGGTTGGGGTTAGGGTTTGGAGGTTAGGTTAGGAGGACATGTGCGCCGTGCTCGCTGACACTCACCTGGAAGGGGTTTGGGGGCTGCCAGTCCCAGGCCGCCAGCTCTGAGAACGAGCTGTGGGCAACTCCCGAGGCTCCCTAGAGTGACCAAGAAGTTCTTGTTCCAGAGCTGATCATATCAAGGAGAACGGTCTTCCCTACCAGAGCCCTGGTCTGTCCAACAGCGTGAAGCTAAGCCCTCAGGACCTGCGGCCTCCGTCCCCCGGGGCCTTGCAGATGGCAGCGGAGAAGAGCAGTGAAAAGGTGAGAGCAGGAGGAGCGGTCGTCCCAAGTGCCCTCGTGCTCCTGTGTGAGGAGGGCCACAGTCCAACCTGGAGGAGTGTGTGGGGAGGGCGGGGACTGAAAGCCAGGCAGGCCTTTGTCAGTGTCTTCTGCAGGCAGCTCATGCCCTGTCCTCAAAGACACCCTGGGGGCTGCACTGGAATGTGCACGGACAGAAAGGAGGAAAAGGCGAAGTTGCGAAGATGGGGCCGTGGCAGTCGGGGCCCCACGGGCGACAAGAAGTCGGGAGGAGGAGCAGTTTGGGGGTGGGCAGAGATGGCTGTTGATTTCAGAGCGTCCAGCTGCTGTGCCCCCAGAGCACTTGAGGACAGCCATCCAGATGCTTCTGACTGCCCTGGGGAGGGCTGGGGCCTCAACAGATTGGGGACTCCAGCTGGGTACCTGGTAGGACCAACCAGGAGAGACACTCAGGGTTGAAGACATGTGGGGCCCGCGGCAGGACGCTCTGGCACTGTGTCCACAGGGACTGAGGGAGCGAGCCCACGGCAGCAGCGGGGAGACCATCACCAGCCTGCCCATCAGCATCCCGCTGAGCACAGTGCAGCCCAACAAGCTCCCCGTCAGCATCCCCCTGGCCAGCGTGGTGCTGCCCAGCCGCGCCGAGAAGGTGGGACCGTGCAGGACCCTGAGGGCCCCCCTCACGCACAGTGGAGTTTGGGCATTTTTGCAGGACCCAGTTCAGTTCTTTGTTGTTAAATTGTGTGCTGTTAAATTTCAAGCATACTGCAGTGCCCCACAAAAAGTAGATGCAAAATCCACGTTTGCCTTTGGTGCCTTCTGCAGTTTTTAGCTCCAGTCTTTCTGTTGGTTAGAAGGGGTGTGTCCGGGTGGGGAGGCAGCAAAACCTCCTGGATTCAGGAGAAGCTTGAACCCTGGACCCTGACGCCTTGTCCTTGTGGTCCACACCCAGATCCTCTTACTCCACAGGGGTGGAGGCGGAGAGTACCACCTCGTAGAACAGGGTGGGGTTTGGGGGCAGCCTTTTTAATTTTTTTTTCCAGTTGAGTGTAATTCACATACAGTTCACCCACTTGAAGTGTACGATTCAGTTTTATTATCTTCACAGAGTTGTACTAGTTCAGAACCATCACCCCAAAAGGGGACCCTGTCCCCCTCAGCAGTCACTCCCATCCCCTCCCCCAGCCCCTGACAACCATGACTCCACTTTGCATCTCTGTGGATTGGCCTCTTCTGGACGTTTCATGTAAATGGAGTCACACACCACGTGGCCTTTTGTGCCTCCCTGCTGTGTGCCCCTCATCCTCCCGGTGCCGCTGACGCTGGTGTGGGTATTCTCTCCACAGAGGAGCACTCCCAGTCCTGTACCGCAGCCCCGGGACTCCGTGTCCGCACTGGAAAAGCAGAGCGGTGCTAACGCCCACAGCGCTGGGAGCAAAAGCCTTGCCCTGGCTCCTGCAGGTACCACTCCCCTGCGGCCTGCTTCCCACTTCCTCCTGCCCCTCCCGGGACTTTGCTGCTGCTCCCCTTGAGCAGGAGGGGCTGGGATGCTGGGCATGAAGTGGTTTCTCAGAGTGAGGACTGTGGGCTACTGCCCCGTACCCCCCAGGGCCTTGACACCAACTGTCCCCCCCCCCCCCAACAAACCTGGAGCAGCCAGTTCAGGCTCAGACCTGCCTCAGCACCACTGTGAGCCCTGGGACCTCGGCCCTGGGTCACCCTGACACTGACATGTTGCATTTGGCCGTGTCTCCACCAATGAGGCATGCCCCCATCCTGTTACTCAGCTGCAAAGATTGGGGATCTCTTAGGACCAGTGCACAGCAGTGCCTGATGGTGTCTGGTGGGATGCCACTGTGGGCACCAGCCGCCCAGTTTCTAGCTGGGCTCTGGTTCTCTTCCAGGAAACTCATGTCTTGACAAGTCTGTTACGTTAACACAGGGCTCAGCAGGCTCATTCCATAAGGCCAGACAGTATGCTTTTTTGGCTTTCGCTGTAACCGTTCCAGCCTGCCATGGTGGTAGTGTGGAGGCACCAAGGACAGTGTAGGGACCTATAGGCCTGGCCATGTGCCTTAAACTTCGTTCATGACAGCAGGCACAGGGCAGACGCGCGGCAGCCCTGTGTTAACATACAGTGTGTTCTGGTAACTACTTTCAGGAATGAAAAGTAAAATGCAAAAGGCCACTGTTTATTTTTTTTAAAAAAAGGTGACTGGTAAGGGGATCTTAACCTTTGACTTGGTGTTGTCAGCACCAGGCTCTCCCAAGTGAGCTAACCGGCCATTATATAGGGATTCGAACCCGTGGCCTCGGTGTCACCAGCACCGCACTCTCCCGAGTGAGCCACAGGCTGGCGCTAAAAGGCCACTGTTTAGAAAAGATGCTCCGCTTAGTCTCCTGGCACAGCACTTGGAACGTTCTCTTACCAAATGATGGGGCGGGGCTGTATGATAGGCTGAAGGCTTGGTGTCCCCAGAGACGCCCTCGAACCTGAGCTGGCTCCATCCTGTGGCTGGCTTCTCTCGCGGGGTGAGGTCTGGTCTGCGCAAGACAGTACACCATCAGGAGGTTTCTCACCAGGGCTTTGAAGCTTCTGAGATAGGCACCGTGGGAGCGTGGGGTGGGAGCCCTGGAGTCATGGCAGGGTGAAGAGCCACCCCACCCCCGTAGCTAGCCCCCAATCTCCCGGGCCCTCAGGGGAACGGGTAGTACTCAGAACATCCTTCTGAGGCCCCTGCCTGGTATGGTTGTGCCTGCAATGCAGGTCTGTCTCCCAAGCCGCTGATGGCTTGACTGCGTGTGTGGGGTGGCGGCAGGTGCCCACCTCCGCCCTGAACACCATGCTTGCCTGTGGCTCATTGGCAGGATGAGTGACATGGCCTCTTCATCCCTGGGGGCTGCCACAGCATGCGGTGTCACATTCTGAGCCTGGAGGCGTCCTCTGTGAACAGGAAGAGGGGAGGTGGCTCAGGGCTTGAGATGAGGACAGCTCCAGAGTGACTTCTGGGCTGGGGCAGATCGGACACGTGGGAGGGAAGGCACAGGTCTGGAGATGAGGGCAGACAGGGAGAACCTTTCCCTTCGCCACGGGGTGCGTCTGGGGTACGTTCAGCAGCAGATCTCAGAGCAGTGACGGAGAGCCAGCAGTGATGCCTGCAAGGTCCCCGTAGGGCTGGGGATTGCAGGGCACAGCATAGGCAGGTTGCTCCTGCCTCAGACTCCCTGTTCCCTTCCGCTCCATCTCCTCCCGTGTGACCCCAGGGGTCTCAGCATTGTGCTCTTCCATGTGAGGTTGTTCGTAGAGCCTTCCAGGTCCACTCCGAGGGAGGCTGTTTTTGACTCCCAGGCTCGTCCCCCTCTTCCTAGGCCCTCTTGGCTCCCCTGGGGTGTTCCTGGTGGAAGGCATTCCTGAAGCTGGACCTCTTCCTCGGCCAGGCTAGGTTCCTGGAGTCCATCCCCTTGGTGGGCTCCGGCTGTGCTGTGTCCCTGAGACACCGTCTGTCCTTCTTGGCAGGCTTCTCCTACACCGGCTCAGTGGCCATCAGCGGGGCGCTGGCTGGCAGCCCGGCACCCCTGGTCCCCGGCACTGAGCCAGCAGCCTTTGACGAGTCCTCTAACTCGGGGAGCCTCTTTGCCACCTTGGGGTCCCGCAGCTCGACGCCACAGCACCCCCCTTTGCTGGCACAGCCCCGCAACTCCGGCCCAGCCTCTCCGGCCCACCAGCTTGCCACCAGTCCCCGGCTCAGCGGGGCCACCCAGGGCCTGCTCCCAGATGCTAGCAAGGGGGACCTGACCTCTGATTCCGGTTTCTCGGACCCAGAGAGTGAAGCCAAGAGGAGAATCGTCTTCAGCATCTCGGCTGGTGCAGGCAGCACCAAGCAGTCACCTTCCAACAAGCATAGTCCTCTGACTTCAGGCACCCGTGGGGACAGCGGGCAAGGCCATGGGCAGGACAGCCGCAAGCGTGGCCGGCGGAAGCGGTCGTCAGCTGGGACCCCCAGCCTGAGTGCAGGCGTGTCTCCCAAGCGCCGGGCCCTGCCTTCTGTTGCCGGCCTCTTCACACAACCTTCAGGGTCCCCCCTCAACCTCAACTCCATGGTGAGGAGGGGGGAAATGCAGGGGCAGGGGCTTTGGGGCAGGAGGCATGGCAAGTTGCAGGAACACACCAGAAGGAGGTGGGAAAGGGGAGCTCCAGCCCAAGCACTCACCTGGGGGGTGGGTGGACACAAACCTGTACAGTGCCCTGTAGGCACCCAGAAGGTCCGTGCCAGAGCGAGGTTGTCTGAGGGGACAGTCAGGCAGGAGGGAGCTGGCCCCTGAGGCTTGCAGGGGTGGGCACATGATGAGGGGATGGGGGTCTCCGAGGATCCTGACACACAAGGACGGGGTTGGAGGGGTGGCTGTGCAGCCTCAGCACAGCTGTCCACACGGTGTCCTTGCTGCTGCTGGGAGGCTGTGGACTTCTTAACAGGAGTTGGATGTGCCCTCAGCTTCCTGGGCAGCCTGGGGATCTGCAGAAGCCCTGTGCAGCTGGTTGAGGGTCTGAGGCATGTGTGTGCATCTTCTGTGTCTCTGCCCCTCAGGTCAGCAACATCAACCAGCCACTGGAGATCACAGCCATCTCGTCCCCAGAGAACTCCCTGAAGAGCTCCCCCATCCCCTACCAGGACCATGACCAGCCTCCCGTGCTCAAAAAGGAGCGGCCCCTGAGCCAGACCAATGGCGCCCACTACTCCCCGCTGACCTCGGACGAAGATCAGGGCTCTGAGGATGAGCCCAGCAGCGCCAGGTGAGTTGCAGAGGGTGGGTGTAACGACCCCCTTTGCCCCCGAGAGCCCCGTCTCCTGGCTTCAGGGGAAGATGAGGAGCTGATGTAGCACGTGCTTTGCAAGAAGCCCCTCTGTGACGCTGTGACAGCCCCAGGAGCGTCTGGGAGTCAGTGTGGCCGGGCAGGGCTGGCTGCGCTTTTGCTCATCTGGTTAGAAGAGGCAGAGGGAGAAGAGGTGCCCACAGCAAGAGAGAAGTTAAAAAAAGCAGTTTTCAGGGTCGGCCCGTGGCTCACTCGGGAGAGTGCGGTGCTGATAACACCAAGGCCCCGGGTTCGGATCCCAGATAGGGATGGCCGGTTAGCTCATTGGCTGAGCGTGGTGCTGACAACACCAAGTCAAGGGTTAAGATCCCCTTACCGGTCATCCTAAAAAAAAAAAAAAAATGCAGTTTTCAGAGTCTTATCAACATAGTTATTGCCCAGTTATTTGATTGTGAAGATTTATTCCTTTTTTAAAATAATATCTTTATTAGTCACAATTCACGTATCATTCCACGCACCTAAGTCATGCAGTTTAGAGGTTGTGGGTGTAATAGACAGGTCTGCACAAACATGGGCATCCTATGAGTGGAGTCACACTGTGTGGCCTTTTGTGTCTGGCGTCTGTCACTGAGCGTGATGTGTTCAGGGTCCATCCACGTGGTAGCGCGTGTCAGAGCCTTGTTCCTGTTCACGGATGAGTGACGTTCCAAGTGTGTGGATGGGCCGCGCTGTGTCTGTCTGTTCACCCGTTGGTGGACACTTGGGCTGTTTCCACTGGGGATAATGCTGCTATGAACATGTATGTACAAGCATGTTTGAGTGTTTACGTTCAGTTATTTCGTGTAGATGAGCACGTACTGAGCTGGAGTTTCTGGGTCACATGGTTATCCTGTGTTGAACTTCCCGCACTGTCAAACTATTCTCCATGCAGGTGGTACCGTCTCGTGCCCAGCTGTAGCACATGAGGGTTCCAGCTCCGCCACGCCCTCAGCCACTGTGACTGTGTGTGTGTTGACCATGGCCCTCCAGCAGGTGTGGCGTGGCGCCTCCTGCAGTTTTGGCGTGCGCGTCTTTCCTGTCTCATGGGGCCGAGCATCTGTTCGCCTGCTCGTTGCCTGTTTACAGATCTTTTGGCTGTCTCAGTGCGTTGGGAGTGCTCTTCATGTGTTCTGGCCGCAAGCCCCTCACCGTGTGCCCGTGCCGCAGGTCTGCTCTCCCACTCCCTGGCTTGTCTTTCCCTTTGGTGCTGGTGTCCTTGAATGAGAGGACAAGGTTTTTAATTTGGATGAAGCCTCTTTACCTATTTTTTCTTTTGTTGCTTATAGTTTTGGTGTCCTATTTAAGTTATTTTGTTACCGTTCCACATATATGTTATGTTTTTAAAAAGTTGCTCATTTAAGTGCTGTTTTGTGCTGGGAATGCCCAATTTAGTGCGGTTTCCAGGGCCTTTTGGGAAGTCTGCTGTGTCCTTGTTGGCCACCATGTTCTTGGGATACACGGTCGAGATGCTACACAGAAGACAGTTTTATAATCTGGTGCTATTTGAGCACCCATTTGTCCTCCCATAACACGGCAAGCACCTGAGGCGTGACAAGGGGCTCACGAGAGAAACGTTAAAGTGGAGTGGCTCTAAAGAGTGCTGTGCTTCTCTGTGCACTGAGAGTTCTCTCTCCTGGTCTCCCGCGGCCGCGCCATCTGCGCCATCCCTCCAGCCCCGCCCTGGCACGGGTGGGCTCTGCGTTTCTTTGATTCCTGCCTTTCCTGGGCTGTTCGTTTGGTGTCTGTAATCCCAGAGCTCTTGTAGGATGCAATTGGATTTCCATCATTGATGAATCTTTTTTTTTTCCTTAGCAGAATTGAGAGAAAAATAGCAACAATCTCCTTAGAGAGCAAATCTCCCCCAAAAACCTTGGAAAATGGTGAGTAACGAGTGCTCTGCCTGCTGGCTTAGTGACGTGGCGGCACTGTGTCCCTTTGTTGGGTGCCTGGGATTAGTCACGCTGTGCCATGCATTCCACATTCCACACGGGTGTCTAAGCGGGGACCAAACTAGGATTCTAGAATGGTTTCTCAGAGAAGTGTAGCGCAGCCCAGGCAGAGCATGGGCTCCTGTGTCGGGCTGGCCCCGACAGGCCCAGGTGTGTGGTACCATGAGGACGCATCTCGTTCCTGGATGCACGGGATCACCTACATCTTGTCTGTGCTCCTGCCCCTTCAGAAGTGCTCATGCTCAGCTTCCCCTTTCCTTGCCTGCACCGTGCGTGTGCAGCCTGACACCCTCTGCCTCTTCCCCCACCAGGCAGCAGCGTGGCGGGAAGGAAGCCGATGGCCACGGGCGAGCCGGTCAACAGCAGCAAGTGGAAGTCCACCTTCTCGCCCATCTCTGACATCGGCCTGGCCAAGGCCGCCGACAGCCCGCTGCAGGCCAGCTCTGCCCTGAGCCACAACTCCCTGTTCTCCTTCCGGCCTGCCATGGAGGAGCCTGGTGCCGACGCCAAGCTCAGTGCCCACCCCAGGAAAAGCTTTCCCGGCTCCATGTCAGGGGCCGATGGTCTCAGCCCGAGCACCAACCCTCCCAACGGCTTCGCCTTCAGCGGGGGCCTGGCCGCAGACCTCAGTTTACACAGCCTCAACGACGGTGCTTCTCTCTCCCACAAGGTCCCCGAGGCGGCCAGTCTGAGCACCCCGCTAAGCTTTCCCTCCCAGCGGGGCAAAGAGGGCGCCTCGGAGGCCAACCCCTTCCTGAACAAGAGGCAGTTGGACGGCTTGGGCAGCCTGAAAGGCGAGGGTGGCAAGGCCAAAGAGGTGGCCGAGCTGGGCCTGGTGCTGTGTGGGCCTGTGGAGAAGGCCTCCCTGCCGCATGGCAGCAAGGCGGCCAAGGGCCGGGACCGTGAGCTCGACTTCAAGAACGGCCACAACCTCTTCATTTCCGCCGCGGCGGTGCCTCCCGCTGGCCTCCTCAGCGGCCCTGGCCTGGCCTCAGTGTCCTCTGCAAGCAGCGCGGCGCCATCCACGCAGACGCACCGCCCCTTCCTGGGCACTTTTGCCCCTGGGCCACAGTTCACCCTGGGCCCTATGTCGCTGCAGGCCAACCTCAGCTCGGTGGCTGGCTCATCCGTGCTGCAGTCCTTGTTCAGCTCTGTGCCAGCCGCCGCGGGCCTGGTGCACGTGTCATCCGCCACAACCCGACTGACCAACTCACACGCCATGGGCAACTTCTCCTCCGGGGTGGCTGGCGGAACAGTTGGAGGTAGGTAGGCGGGAGCGTCTCTCTGCCGTCTGGTTCCCCGGTTCCCGTGCAGGTGACTCCTTCCTGGACTCCAGCATTTAATCACACGCTGCTTTACAGGCTCCCTTCTAGAGCCCTCCAGAGAGCAAGAGGCTGTGCCGTGGGTCCCCTTGTGCCCTCTGCACCTACCAGCTGTTCTTTCCACAAAATCCAGATGACCGTTGCGTGGGGGGAGGCTCCACGCGGAGCGTGCCCGTGTAGGGTTCTCTGGTTGTAACGGCGTCCCTCTTGTTTTCAGAGAGCACAGTGCACATGGTCACTAGGGCATTATTTCTCCTGTGGAGGTCACCTGTTTAACAGTGACCGCCCCACGGGCGCTGTGGTAAGGCCTCAGGAGCTGTGTCGGGTAGGAGTGAGTCCCCGACAGCGCCTGCCGCAGATGCCGGGGTGCGGAGGAGCCCGGCCGGGCAGGGGCAGGTGTGCCGGAGGGGCGGGCCTCGCCCGGGCGCAGGTAGGTCTCCTGCCGCCGGAGCTCCCGCCGCTTGCTGCTTGTGCCTGCACGTCGCTCGCTCGCTCGCTCGCTCGCTCAGAGCCGCACCTCTTATTTTGCTTTCCCCCTTGTTTTGCGAGTTTGCGTGAGCGCTTCTCTTTTCTTGGAGCGAGCAGGGCCCGCCTGTTGAAGCTGCGTTTTTCTCTCCTGTTTGCAGGTGTCTTTAACCACGCGGTGCCTTCCGCCTCTGCTCGCCCGTTTGGAGCCGGTGTCGGCAGCGGCGCTGTGTGCAGCAGTGTCCTGCTGGGCCTGGGCCCGCTGCAGGCGGCGGCCAGCACCTCGGCCTCTTGCTTTCAGGCCCCGGCCTCGGCCGAGAGTCGGCCGCCCCCTCCGCCTCCCCCGCTGCCTCCCCCTCCGCACCTGGGCCGGGCCCCTGTGGGGCCGCCCGTCCTGCACGCTCCCCCACCGCCTAATGTCGCCTTGCCTGCTGCCTCCGCGCTACTGGCCTCTAACCCTGCGCCTGTGCTTCTGCAGAGCCTTGCGGCCCTCCCTGCTAACCACGCTCTCTCGCCCCCTGCCTCTGCTGCCTCGCTACCCCCTGCTAACGCCTCTTTGTCTATCCAGCTTGCCCCGCTCCCGCACAAGGGCTCCCGCCCCTCCTTCACGGTGCACCACCAGCCCCTGCCCCGGCTGGCCCTGGCACAGGCCACACCCCCACTCCCGCAGGCTGGCGCCGCGGGGCCGTCCGCTGTGTGGGTTTCCCTTGGCATGCCGCCTCCTTATGCCGCACACCTAGCGGGGGTTAAGCCGCGATAAAGACCTTGCTTAGCTAGCAGTTCGTATTCTGTAAGGTAAGGCTGGAGCCACGCGAGGTGGTTCATTTGAGAAACTGAGCTGTCCCTCCCTTGGCAGAGGAGACAGCTGCAGGGCTCAGCAGAGGGCCTGGGGGGACGAGGCTGCTGTGCAGCCAGCGGGGCAGAGCTCCTTGCTTCTGAGCAGTGGAAAGGGGGCACAAGAGCACAGGGAGACGAGGGAGATGGTCATGAGAGGACAAGGGGAGCCAGGGTGGGACCCGTGGACACGTGCAGCTGCGTTAACCAGTGTGGGGAGAGGCCTGTGGTGTGAAGGGCCAGGGACTGGTGCAGCCACCGCTGGAGGACTAGGGAGCCCTGGGCCCCAGAGTGGCCTCCAGGGGCCTTGTTTCCACTAGGCCCAGGTGCCCCAGGAAAGGCAGTGTGGCCCCCAGCCAAATGAGTGGCACCAGGTGCATGGCACCACAGCGTAACTGCAGAGTAGTAGGAGGCTGAGGTTTGTGACTAGGCATGTGTCAGGCCTCTCTGGCCCATGTCCTTGAACACACCTCGTAGGGTGTTAGGAGAGCGGCCCATGTGAGGTCCCGGGGAGCATCAGGCCTGCAGTGCTGGGTGTCGCCTCTCTAGCTCTTTAGCTCAGGGACCCGGCCTTCCAGCACCTCGTGCTCCCAGGCAGCTGATGGGTAGGTAGCTGGGTGAGGCCGCTAGGTGAGCTCAGGAATAGAGGTGGCCAAGCCCTGCACCCTGCCCTACTCCAGTGCCTGGCGCCCAGGACTGCTCTTCTGGAATTGTGGCTGACAGCTGTATGGCTCTCCGCCTCCGGAGAATGCCCCAGCCAGGTGGGCAGTGCCAGCATAGAGTGCCTGCCTGGGAGCAGGAGAGGAAGGTGCTGGCAGGGGGGTCTCCCCTGGGGAGACTGTGCTGTAGAGAGCTCAGGCCTTGTGGCTCTGAAGCCCCGAGCATGGCCAGCTTGTGTCTTCCTGGGTGCTGCTGTGTGAGGCGTTCCCACCTGGCATTCCCTGAGCTGAGTCCACAGTGCACGGGGTGAGGAACTGAGGATGGGGCTGGGCCAGGGTCGTGGGTGGACCATCAGTTTGACCTGCTATCCAGCAATCATGTCAGTGGAAGTAGATGGCAGCCTTGGCCACTGGAATGGTAACAGCCTCCCGGTCACAGTGCTCGTCACCTGAGGGCTGGAGGTTGTGCTCGGTCCTGTTGAAGAGTCCTAAAGGTAGGGTGGCTTTAGCGTGACTTGACCTCATGTTCTCAGAGAAGGCGGTGGCTTGGCTGGCTGCTGGTCTCCTGGGACTGCTGGAGGAAGGCAGGAGATTGGCTATGGAGATGTCCGGGTGTCAGGCACCCTGTGTTCACTCACAGGGGAACACCTGTCTCTGTCCTTGTGTCCCCAGCCTGTCAGGGAGCTAGCTCCGTGTCTGTCTTCAGACAGCCTCCCCTGGTGCTGAACAGCATCCAGAAGGGCTGTCCTGACCCTGCAGTCGTGTGTGTGTGTGTTGATAGGAGACCTCTGGTGCCCAGCCTGGGTGAGTGTCAGGGCACCCTGGAGTGAGATGCTAACGCCAGCCTGCTTTTCCTCCCGCTGTGCCTGTCTGCAGGTAACTAGGATTTCTACCTCAACCGCGCGACCTATGCAAGGACGGTGTGGACCAAGGCTCCCGCTGCACGTGCTGCCCCTGCCGGCTCCACCACCCCCAGACAGCAGAGACGGAAAGGCCAGCAGGACTCGGAGCTCTACTGTGAATCGGTGCACACCTGCAGGAGGCTGGGACTAGTCCAGTTTGTACTGTTGATAGTTTTAGATAAAGTATTTATCGTTTTTTAAAAAGTATAAACAATTCAGACTTATTTTATTCCATCTAAGTCATAAAAGGCAACCTATGGAGAAATATAAATATCTATATATGAGAGGATCTATTTAAAGACACGTATCTGAAGGGCTGGCCGCCAGCGGAGACGCCGACAGCCTGTCCTGGTGCTATCTGGCCACCAGGCCTGCGCCTGCCTCCACCTCCCGGTGCTGACTAGACATTGGCCGACGCCAAAACCAGTTCTCAGAAACGCCTGCCCCATCGATTCCCGCCGCTGTTGCTATACCAAAGGTGTGCCCGACTCGCAGGTGGGGCGGGTTGCTCTTCGTGGTAATGTTCCTCAGAAAAGCCCTTCCTTTCCTAGGGGGGCCCGAGCTAATCTTTCAGACCCTTCCTTTCTCCAGAGCCCCTTGCGCCTGTGCTGGAGCTGCCAGGCGCCCATCGTCCTCTCTGCTCCCCTGCCCCATCACTGTGAACATCCCCCCAGACTGTTAACCCTCCGGGGCTTAGGATCGGTGCCTTTGGCAAGTGAACGGGCCAGGCAGGCGCTGGGACCGGTCAGGCTCTCCTAATTCTGCACGGCAAGCTCAGAGTTCTGGAGCTGACGGGAGAGGAGCCGCCGCCTGGCTTGCGGTTCTGTCTGAGTGGTGCTCACGCGGAAGCCCCCACACTGGACGCCCAGCGGCCTGGCTGGCCTGTGTGACAAGTGCATTTACTTTTGTATTTCTTTGCTCTTCCTGGCTGGCGGTGTGCTGGCTGGTGCCGTGGGGCAGGTCAGTCGTGGGTCCGTGGTGTTTGTGTATAAGAGAAAGTCACACTGATGAGTGACAGTATTTTATAGAGATGTGATGAAAATTTATAAATTTCATAGACTTGACTGCATTTATTTTTAGATTGTATATTGTACAGTGAACTTAAGGAAAAAAAAACACAAGGGGGGGGGAGAACTTATTTATTCAAGTGCACAAAAATGGCATCAGCCCCAGGGCCAGTCCTCAGACCAGACCCCGCAGTCACTGCAGCCCCCACAAGCACGCCTGAGCTGCACCTGCCCTGCTGCCGCCCGGCTCCTGGCCCCTTCCAGTCAGCCTCTGATTCTGGTCCTGCAGGTGATGCTGGCTTCCCCACTCAGGGCTCAGCAGGAAGGTGGGACTGTCCTAGGTGCTTCCAGAGGTTTGGGGCTGGTCTCAGGCCCTCAGCTGTCTGAGCAATGGCATCTGCGCCCTCTGCAAGGTGGTGTCCAAGAGCCCCAGGTCCCTTCACACAGGTCACACACGCTACATGCTTGGACGGGTAAACAGTAGGTCCTGGCAGGGGTGCTTGGGGCCTGCTCCCTCAAGGCAGCATCAGGCGGACTGCCGTTGCCAAGGAAGTACAGCTCGTCCCAGTGCCCCTGACCTGTCCTGCTGTCCCTCCAGCGAGCCCCAGCCAGCAAACCAGGAAAGGCTCTAGAAAATTCAGCCTGCCTCGAGCCTGGGCTGCGGCAGTGAGGCAGACAAGCACAGGTGTCCCCTCCACACCCAGATGACCCCCAGAAGAGCCTGACCTTGGTTCCATGTGGGAGGTTCAATCTGATCCCTGGTTTCCAGCTGGGGGAAGGAAAGGGCAGGGGCCTGGAAGGACCCTGCCTGCTCCGGGGAGGGTGTTACCCCCCACCCTCAGCATCCTGCCTCAACACCCCAGCCCACCTAGAGCAATAGTCAAGCTCGGAAGATGGTGCTTGTGGCCCGTTTAAAAACTGGCCTGTCCTCTCACATGGCTGCCCCGGCGCCTTCTCTCCCTCCAGGATGGTGCTCTCAGCTCACAGGTGCCACGCCCCGGCCCCCAGGACAGGACAGGCAGCACCCTGCTCAGTCAGGTTGCAGAGGACCCACTTCTCCCCACGTGCTCCCTGACGTCATGCCCCAGGCCCAGAACAAAGTGCGTTCTTTAAATGACACCACCACTTCTGCCTGCCCCATCCCCATCCCATGGCACAGCACCATGGGTGATGTGTCCTAACTACGTGACCAGTATCTGCATGTGGGGCCACGCGCGCAACTCTGAGCCCAGCCTGGTGCAGCTAGCACGGGTACAGCCTGCTCCTGAGCCCCCGGGGGCACATGCGTGTAACACATAAGCTGTGGCGTGGCCCAGCAGGGCAGCTGGCAGCAAGATGGTCTGGGAGTCTGGTGCTGGCGCCTGGTCGCAGTGTTCTCTGGGCAGCTCTGGCCTGTGAGTTGGTGCTGCTGTTGACTGTGGGCAACTAGGAAAAGCCCAGGAGGCTGCCACCCGCTCTTGCTCAGGAATTGGTCAGGAAACCTTCACAATTTAAGACGACCCACCCTCCTAGGCCCTGCGAGGCAGCTGCCTGGTCAGTAGGAACTAGCACATGAGTGGTGACTTATTTAAGACTTGCCCACTCCCTTTATTTATCCGCCTGGTTGTGTTCAGCCCTCAGTAGGAGTCAGTCTTCTTCCAAGGGTCCTGTTTCCACCCGCCTCGGTCATTCTTGTTAAGATGGTCCATTCACACACAGCTGCTGTCGCTTCTCTTTAGACCCTTATTTGTATCTCAAAAGAAACTTTGCTTTGTCTTTACAGTAAACTCTGTATTTTAATTGACTGCATTATCATGGTCTGCCCTCGGGGCTGCTGGCTGGACCCTCCTTTCCTAAGGGAATCCCACTGCATTCTGCATTTCCACTTGTAGATGCTGTAATAAAAAGATGGTTTTCATTTGACCCTGGTCTGAGCAGCAGTATTTCTTCCTGGCCACGGGCCAGCGTGCCATCCCTGATGTGGCCAAAGGTTTGCGGGCGCTCCCAGCAGAAGCTCCACAATTGCAGAGGAGACTGGGGGCCTCAGGAAGGCCAGCCCCTCCTTTCAGGGCTCACATCTGACTGCAGCGGGTCCCTTGGGATAAACCCCCCTTGGGCTGAGATCAAAACCCACAAAATCCTTGGCCTCTGCCATTTCCCATGGGCTACAAGTCAGTCGTGGTCCGTCACACCCAAGGGAGGTCCTGACCAACAGGGGATGGGATCATTGGGTCATCTTAGGATTCCTGCTGAACAGCCCCCCCTTTTCACCTGGGGTCCCAGTCTCCCCTCAATCAGTGCAGGTGGCCCAAACCCAGACACTTAAATCTTGAACCTGGAAGGGAGCCCATTGCCCGAGAGCCTCGCTTCAGAGGGGGGTTCCAGCTGCCTGGGCTCCCGGCCTGTGGAGGCTGCCCCTTCCCTCCCTTCAGTCACCTCACCGCCATCCAAGTGGAAAAGAGGTAACTTTATTGGAAGGAAACAAGCCTGCCGACCTGAGGGCAGGGTGCCCATCAGCAGAATTCACAGTGGGTCGAGGCAGGGGGCGTGGCCACCTGGACCCCACAATCACAGCATCGTCTAGCTTTGTACATTTCAGCTGGCGTGGGATAGGAGCTCCATGCCAGTCCAGGTGCCCATCAGGCCCCTGGTGGACACAACTGCGGGGCCGGGCACAATTCTGGGCAGCAGCACGGAGGTGCCGCACCAGTCCACTGGGTCCTGAGGCACAGGGGAGGGTGCTTGCTGGGCTGTTTCTCCAAAAAGGCAAACTTTGCCCCCCCCCCCCCCCCCCAGCTTTGCAAGTCTTTAAACCAAAACACCTTCCACCACAAAGCCAGGGCCCTGCAGGCCCAGCCAAGGGTCAAGGAGGCTGGTCCAGCCCCGAGCTAACGGCCCATCCACTGGCATCATGCCTTCAAGCTGCTCAGCTGGAATCTGGCCTCTTCCGATATGCCGAACTGCTCCAGAGGGTCCTGTGGAGGTGTCAGGGTGGCCGTGAGCCAAGGCCTGGGAGGACCATCCCCGCTACTGCCAGCCCAACACACACCTTCCCCGTCATCTTCTGGATTTCGTTCCTGTAGAAGATGAGGCTTCTCCGCATGAACTCATAGCTGGGGAAGAGAGTGGCACATGGGCACAGAGTCCCGCTCTGCGTGGTGCTGTCCCCCACACCCCCCAGCTGCTCCTGCTCCCCACCTGGCCCGACGCAGCGCCTCCATCCACTCCAGACACTGCTCCTCGCTGCAGCACTCAAAGTGGTACTTCCTCTCCGGGTCTTCGACAAAGCCTGTCAAGGGAAGCCACAGGACTCAGCTTCCTCCTGCTAGTGCCCAAACTGTCACCCCCTCCTCTGGCCCTTGTGTGGGCTCATCTCTTTCTGCCTGTTGTGGGTTGAATTACAAACCCCCTCCCCAAAAGACACGTTCAAGCCCTGAATCCCAGAACTTGTGAACGTGACCCTGGGTCTTTGCACACAGAATTACTTAAAATAAGGTTGTTAGAGTGAGTCCTAATCCAATACGACAGGTATCCTCATAAAGGGAAATCTAGACACAGATACGCACACATGGAGAAGACCGTGTGAACGTGGAGGCAGACAACAGGGGTCACGTGGGGGGAGGTGTGAAGTGTCTACAAGCCAAGGGCTGCTGCAGCCACAGAAGCTGGGGACAGGCCTGGGACAGATTCTCTGGGCCTCAGAGGGAACCAGCCCTGCCCCGCCTTGACGTCCACTTCCGGCCCCTGCAATCGCACAGAGTAAGTTTCTGGTACTTAAACCACCGTCTGTGACACCTCGGCACGGCAGGCCTCGCAAATTAGTACCAGCGCCGGGGTCCCCAGCACGGGGCCTGGAGCTGAGGGGAGACACCGAGGCACCCCGGGGGCAACGGGGCAGGGGGAGAGGGGCGAGTGCCGGCGGCGTTTCGGGTGGCTGCTGGGGACACGGCCCCGCCACGAAGAGCAAAGCCTCGGAAGAGGCGGCGGGCGGCGCCCGCACTCACTGATAGAGAAGCCGCCGGGCTCCTCCCGGGCGACCCTGCAGCGCTCCAGCAGCAGGGCTCCCACGGGCTCGGCCTCGTCCGTGCGGAAGTAGAAGAGGAAGTTCGCCACCAGCTTCACCAGCCGCCGCTTCAGCACTGCGGGCACAGGGCGCGCTCAGGCCGGCCGCGGAGCCGTGGCCGCGGACCTCGCCCACCCCGCGCCCAGCGCCCCGCTCAC